TGATCCTGGTTACCTGTGTCTGCATCATAATAAGATACAGGCCAACTGGCATTACTACATAAGATGTACGAGTATGCGAGTTGGAATGCTAAACACAACTTAAGCTTGAAAGAATCTGAAAGAAACACTTACATTGGCTTTACTCAACTCCTAAATAACTTAACTCAATATAAAGCAATAAAACATATGCAATATATAAAAAGCTTGTAAAAACAGTGGAAACAACTCAGTTCATTAAAGAAAATGCAATAACAAACTCAATTTTACTCATATAATAAAGTAATATAGTTTCTGTGGAGATTCTTTAACTGACAACCACCACTATGAGCCTAAGTGGTGATACAACGTCTTGTCCATGCTGCCAGAATTGTCCTTTACTTTGTAGTCATATAGAACTACTTAACTTAGTGGATCCATTAGGTTATGGTAAAAGCATCTTAAGGAGTCATCTAAAAAGTATGATCCTTTACTACCCATGATGGCTACATGATTTATGGAGATGTGAGTTATCTGAACTCAAGCTCGTCCCCATATCGATGCTCACTACTACTCCCAAAATATACTTTAGCCCATATGTTTGTAAAAACAAAACTCTTTCTTTGGTTTGAGATAATTACTCAAAAAGTTAGCTTAAAAGCTCTCTTGGAAATCTCAATTTCCTTTCTTTCTTAAATGTGAAAACATTTTAACTCTTGGGAATACTTAGTTCACGTATAATCTTTGAAGGATGAACTTTACTCTTACTCTTTAATGAAAACTAGCTCAAATGCTCTTTTGGAAATCTCAGTTTCCTTTCTTGTTTAATGTGAAAACATTTACTCTTTAGGAATACGTAGTCCCAATATACTTTTTTGAAGAAAAGCACTTCAAACTTTACTCTTTACTCAACTCAAAACTCAAGTCTTAAAACAATGTTAAAACATTTGTAAAAGACTTTTGGAAAACTTTAAGAACTTCTCTTAACTTGACTCTTGACTTCTCTTGACTTGACTCTTAACTTTCCTTGAATTGAATTATGGATTCAAGGATTGTGATTTGTGATAGGAAAGATCTCATGATGTTAAGGAATGATTTTAGATAGCTAAACATTAGAAAAGATCAAGAAATCATTGTCTGAGGGTGGGTCCGTGACGCGGATAAGTATTTAAATTTTTGGTTCGAAAATGACTTTTGAGGTAGAACAGTCCGTGACCGCGACGCGAAACGATTTTCCACAAATCTGGGGAGCAGGTCCGCGACGCTGAGGCACTGCCCAGATTTCCCCGACGAAATTTCTTCTTCGTTTTTCAGCTCTAAACTCCATTGGTTCTTTCCCTAAACACCTAGAATCATCTATACCCTCAAATAACATCAAATTCTACTCGAAAACACAACTAAAAACGTGAATCAATCTCAAGAAAACTCCAACATCAACACAACCCATAAGGATTCAAACGAACTTCATCAAGAATTCAAGGGATTTACTTTAAAATCAATGTACTTTGCTGAAATTGAATCAAGTTGGGAGCGTGGGTGAACTAACTCAACGCTATGTGATCTCACATACCTTGTAGGGATCACCCCCGACGAAATTCACAAACTAAACTCCACGATCTTGACGAATCTTGCTTTTCTTCTCCTTTCTCCTCTTCTTTTCTCTTTTCTCCAAGCCCTAGTGTAATTTGGTAAAAGCGTAAACTAATCTCATTCTAATTAGACCCTAACTTAATTACCAAAAACGAAATAAAATAATTGGGCAAGGAGAAGACCAAACTACCCTTCAAAAATTCGGATTGGACTTTCCTTATTCCAACAGCCCAACTTCCAAAGGGCATAACTCACTCATACAAACTCGGAATCACGTAAACTCAGCGGCGTTGGAAAGATCATTTCAAGAGCTTTCCTACCATATCTGGAAGTACCTCTATCTCACCCTGAGCTAGAAATTATGGCCGTTTGAAGTTGTCCAAAACTCAACTTATTCTAACTTAACAAAATTTCCAGATTTTCATTCTTTCCAAAAATGACTATTTCCAACTATTAGCTTCTTCCTAGTTATTTCAAATTGTGAGATGTTACAGCCCAGGCCCCTGTGTATGCCCAAAAACAAGTGGAAGCAGGAACTATGTACACTAGATTAACAGACAATATTTTAAACTATACATTTCCCCTCTTAATTATTATTAATATATATTAACTCTTTTCTTGACCAAAAACAAAAAAATGTTTTGAATTCAAGTTTGAATATTTTAAAAGTTATGGTAGACAACAATTCTCTTTTTAAGGAATCTGATACGTTGCAAATATATATATTAGTCGTAAAGAAGTGAGTTCTACATACTATTCTTTCATCTTGTTGGCCTTACTAACCAACAAATCAAAATGGATTGCCAAAAAAAAAAAAACTTTTATCAAAAAAGGTTGTTGGCTTCATATTGTGTAACAAAGTGAGAGGCCGGGGATAGGAAAAAGAGTCAAGTCGATCAGACTCGAGGATCGAGAGAAGTAAACGAAATCATAATTTGATAAATTAAGACTATGAATAATACCATATGATTGATCACCCGTCAATAAAGATCATCTTTGTAAACTGTCAATATATTTAAGGACATTTCATTTTCTACGTTTCAAAAAATAGAAAATTTAAAATGATGTACAACATATACTTTCCATAGTCAAACTAAAATACTCCTTTCACATCATATTTATAAGTAAATCTCCTAACCAATACCATGTATTCTTAAATTCAATAAATATTGATACATCAAAAGGGTTCCACTTAGGTATTAGGTGGCTAATACATTATAACACTAGAAGAAAAAGTCGCAAACTCTACCATGTGCAAATTTATGTTTACAACATATTTTTTCTCATTTTGTTCATCAAAAATGTGCAAGTCAAATCAAATTAAGTAGCTTGAAAAGTATACTACGTATGAAACTAGCTCGAATCACAAAAGAAAATTGAAATATCATTGTCGTTTTATTATAGATGTCTATCACTGATAGTAACAAATAGGAGATACCATCAATTATTGTGATTGAATGAGTAAAATTCATCCACCTTTAATTAAACGTTTCAGATTTGAGTTTAGATATTTTAAAAGTCACGATAGGGAGTAATTTCCTCTTTAATAAACCTTACATAATATGAATATGAATTAATCAAGCCGGTAGTAAAAGTAACAACACCATGTGAGGAAAAAAAACAAGACGAGCGAGTTCTGCATAATATTATTTTACAAGAATTTATGAAATTATTTAGGACTAGAGCCACATAGTTCAAACCTCTCTTGAATTGTAATTCAATTAGAGAGAAAATATTGTAATCCTATTAGGACATGTTTAATCTAGGGAAAATACGAATTTGTATTAAGAAGGTGATATTATGAGTACAAAAAAAATAAATTCTTTTAAAAAACTTATTTTCGTTATTCACGATTTTTTAGTCTTGAATATTACATGATATCAAAACTAAGTTAACAAAGAACCAGCAAAATCTTATAGAACCAATGGAAAAGATGGTAGCAATTGAGTCATCATCGATTGATTGAATAAGATTTATTCAACTTTAATTAAAGATTCTAAATTCAAATTTGGATATATAAATAATGATAATAATCAATTCTTTTTTTTTAATTGGTCTTATGCGCAAAGTGAAAATGTAAATTAGTTGAAGCTCAAATATAAATGTTGAACTCCGAATAGAAAAAACAAGAGAGTGAGTTTTACATGCTATTAATATTGGAATAGTTCAACTTTCAAGTCTATTTTGAATTGAAAAATGACTTGATTCGCTCATTATAAGAAATAATAATAATAATAATAATAATAATAATAATAATAATAATATTATTATTATTATTATTATTATTATTATTATTATTATTATTATTATTATTATTATTATTATTATCGAATTATTATTTTTCATAGTGATAACTCATAATTGAAATACTCCTCTCACATCATATTTATAAGTAAATCACCAAAATCGTTGCACGTATTCTTAAACTCAATAAATATGATACCTTGGAGGGGATCCACTTGGGTATTAGGTGGCTAATACATTAATAACACTCTAGGAAAAATCAAAAAGTCAGAGTGTCGTTTTAGCTCATTTTATGTCTATTAGGAATAATATATTTTGTCTATTTTTACTTGTTCAGTATTGACTTGACATACTTCTTAAGGAGCAATAAATAAAATGATAATTTTGCTATATCACTCTGTGAATACAGTAAATTAAATATTTTGGAAAATGACTATATAATTAATAATAAAGGTAAATGTTCTAAACTAAACAAATAAAAACGGCTATCTATTTTTAATATAATTGACAAATAAAAGTGTGTAGAAAAAAATACTGTTTTTTTGTCTTGAATTTCGAAAACAGTACTTATTTTAGAATGATTTTTTTATTAAAGTGATACTTGTTTTAAAAAAAAGCAAAGACTAATATTTTGTGTTACTTTTCTATTAAAGTTTGTGGTGTTAAAAATGACAGAAAGTATGCTTATTGTTTAGATTTTATTTGTGTTGTTATTGGAACGAAAACAACACTTTTTTTATACTTGACTTGCTACGAACCAAATTATCAAAAGACGAGTTATTGCGAAAGCAGACCAAGATGGTGCATTTACCTTTTATAATGTTGTAACATAATTTCTTATTATAAAAGAAAAACTTATCAAACAACATTAATTTTGCACAATTTATCTTTTTTTTTTCACGATTGGATTAGAGATATTCCACATTTATATAATGGAGCAAGTTACGAAGAAAAATGGTATAAATAATGCTAGATCTATAGCCATCACTAAATATTACTACTACTTTGAAGTTGTTCAAGGAGTGATAAGACTCTTGCATAGTTAAAGATCGTAATGAACAAAAGAAATCACGTCTCACGTTATTAAATAAAATAAAAAAAAGATGCTCTCCCAAACGCACATTACAAACTGAACCAAATATATATCCATCAAGAATTTATATAGTCGATCCAAACTACTTTGTGACTGAAAGCTTGGTTGTTTAGAAGGTTTTGACAGTTTATAAAATATAAAAGTTTCCAATAATTTAGGATACAGATAGTAACACTTTATAATTAAGGCTCATTTTGGCATGGGTTAAAGAAATTTAGAACAGTTTTGTCATTTGTTGACCAGAAACTTATGTGCTCCAACCAAACCTGTTTGCTGGTGCCTATTATTAAAGCTATATATGCACAAGAGCCAGTTTCTTCACTGTGTTCATCGATAAACATGAACCACCCGTGCCATTCATTTCTGCTTGTGTTCATCAATGATCGTTCAGGAACAGCATTTTACTCAACATGCTTGATAATTCAAAAGAAACGAGGGAAATCAGTCTAAAACAGCAGGTAAAAAGCATATAATTTCATCTGGAGCGAGGAAATACCATGTTCGATACTCTTTAACTTCTAATTTGAATCTGATGATCGGACTCCATGTCGTTTGAAGAACTCACGAAATCCATAAGCACTTAGATCATAGTTGAACTGAAATAAGAAGAATATATTAATGATCAGAACCACTTCAAAATACAAGATGAGTTTGGTTTACACAATAACTTTCCAACATGCTCTTTTCTGTCATTCATGAGATAGATCTCACTCAGATACAGTGTGATTGGTGGAGATAAGGCAGAAAAGTAAGATTACAATGGCAGACAACTTTTGATGAAGCAAATGATGGAAATGGGGAAGGTGGCATGACATTAGTTTTGTGAACTCGATACTAGACGTTATAAAATAACTAGTAACAAATAGGACTCACTAGAACAGCACTGATGACTATTCTTCTTGTGCTAGGTAATATTACAAAGAAGACATGCATGAAGAAGAAGGACAAGCAAGGAGACACTTGAATCCAGTTTGCAACAGATTTTGGACTACTATCGCGTTGTATGATTGTTGAGCTTCTCCTTCACGAGGATCTTATTAACCTGAATATTGAAACTAACAACATTCACCTAGAATAAAGTTGGTCATGGACTCATTGGGTATCTGGTGGCTCCGTTAATAGGTGAATTTGGAACATGCAGCTAAAATATTATTTTTCTTGTTAATTTGTCACCTTTATAGGACTTAAATTTCCCCTAAAAGAAATGCAAGAGGGAATTTTCCCTGCCACCTACAACCTGAAGAAGTTGTACGAATAACCATAATGAATCTTTAACCAGCTTTGAGAATAAAGGAGGAAACAGAAAAAATAAAAGAAGTGGATTCAACATTCGGGCTTGATGACAAGTAAGCACATTCGCAAGAATTATAGAATGCAAACATTTGGTAATAACTTCCTAAGATTTGAAAAAGTGGAACAAGGACAACTAACTGTATGGTACGATTAAGATAGTCTAACAACTCCGCATCCTGATGTACCCAATAGCTTATGGTAGTCACAGTTTTCAAGAGCAAGCAGCATACAAGCTAATGAAACAAAGAAGATAGAAAGCAGCAATGTCAGTAAAAGCCATCATTGCATCAATTAAAGGATGAAGCAATGCAAAGCGAGGGGCTATCACTTCATGGGCAAAGCTATGCACTTCGGAGAATAGGGCGCTTCAAACAATGACGCACAATGTGATCCTAACGAGAAGCAGTTGATTCTTTGAATCTCAACTTTAAGGAGTTGGATTAATATCAGCATCTGTGTAAATAGGATGCTAAAATTAGTTATTCAACCGTGAATTGATTTTTATAGTACTAGATTTGTATGTTTGGTACTTTTTAATTTCCATAGCTTGTGCACTTCTCTTCAGAGAAGCATCCGCTTCACCTATCATCTTTCTCAAGTTTCATAGGCCTTATCGATTTTTTATGCTTTTCACTTTTAAAAACATTGACAACAGAGAGCGCATTTGGAAGACTATTCATCGTGTGCATTACATGGACTGTTTGGTTAGGAAGGAACAAGAGATGTTTTGAAAGGAAGATAGAACACACTTCTTTTGTAAAGTTAGATGTCTGCAAAATTTATACTTTTTGATGTAAGGTGCAAGGATGGAATGACACAAATTTTAAATTTTTCACTCTCCGAGGCTAGGAGAGCTTGTAAATTCTCCCATTTTAAATATTACCTTTACCTCATCAAAAACAAGAAAAAGCTAATGGAACAAATGGCATTAACTATAAAAGAAGTTATAAGGTATGATTTCAAATTACACCAACTATAACTTCAATGTAGCCATAGCAAAATCTTCATTACGATATAATTTTGCACATAAAATTTCAAGGACGAAGCAAATATTAATTATCATTTTCTCTACAGATACTTCACAAACACGAGAACTTACAGGTAAAACTTTGACAGAGTATTTGGTAATATTAGGATCAGCAACCCTGCCCTGAGCAGCTGCCTGGTAGAGAGCAAACCAGAATCACTCAGTTGAAGATAAAGAAAAAAGAAATTTATGGCTAGGTGAAGCCACAACGCTAACAAACATCCAAGCACCAAGCCCTTGCTATTGACGAACTGTGAGACATATCAAATAGTGTAGCAGAGACATTCAATACACATGCAGAGAAAAACAATAAACAAACTAAAGTAGCATTAATTTAAAAACGGTAAGAGAAAAGAAAGAAACAAAAGAAATCGCAAACTCCCACTTCTGGATATAATTGAACAGTTCACCACTTCTACAAGTAATACTAAAGAGTTGAGTATACCCTACAAAATGTTCCAGTAACTCATTCGCTGAAGAGGTTTTCTCACTGAAAAACCATATCAATTCAATCATGTCTTCTATGATACGAATGTAAAATGTAACTCTTAATCTTTTGTCCCAAATCAAAACTATGTAAAATGTAAAGGACAAAGTGAGTAATTGTTTAATGCCCTGAAACTACAGAGAAAATAGAGTAAGCAATAGAAACTTGTGACTCTCTTTCCAGATTATTAAACTATTGCTCGGACAGAAAGAGATAAAGGGGGGAGGAAGGATGAGAGAAACTCCTGGAACGTCATGGCAATAACATACACAGAGAAGATTACGTTTTGTTCATGTTTTGCTGTCTGTAGCGTAAGTTGGTAGTTACAAGCTTGCCACTAGCTTTTGGTTGGCTGTGCTTCAGCTAGATTATTCAATAGCTTGTTGTAAGTCACCAACTCATGATTGGATGATAATGACACTTTTGAGGTCAGGACATCATTTTATTAAGCAGGAAATAACTGAGTTTGTCAGGCAGGGATTAGACACAACAAAAAGTCCACCCCTCAAAATGCTGAAGAATTATGCATAAGATAAGGGATGTTTGGACCTCTAAGTATTCTAACAAGTCAAGCCTTTACAGCAGGCAGCATAAAAAACATATGACGACCTATCAAGCTTCAACGGCACAAAGTCCTGAAGAATAAAACCACTCCCTCTCTTCACCCAGTGTATTCGATATAGCCTAATATTACGCTCTATTAGTTACCTACTATAAGTTTAATCACAAAGTACATCCAGTAGATTATTCCTACTTTAGCAGAGTGTGAATCCGTGGAAGCCTCGTCTGCATCTTGCAATTGATTCTGAGGGGTGTCAATCATTCCACTACAGTTTGTATCTTTTCACAAATCAATAAATTTGTTTGCAAAAATTCAACATCCCCCCCCACCCAGTTGCCAGTTGTAGGCCAAGAGCATTCTCAATTTTTTTAAAAGGAGGAAGAAATTAAGATGTATCAGATTAAAACAGAGTTTTCTTATTAGATGTAGCAAATCTGCAAATGCATCTTATTCTCTACCTCCGTCTATCGAGGCACTCATAAACCACACTTACATAAACATATGATTCCCCGACTCAACAAAATTACCTGTTCTGGACTATGAAACATCTCTACAAATGGATATTCCTTCTTTTGTCTTGTTATGCAAAATCCCGGGTACTTTGGGCATTCGACCTGAACAATACAAAATAAAAATGAAACATGGATCATGCATGAAAACATTTTAAGCTATCAAAATCCAATTCAAACAATGAGGTCTTTTCCATATTTCCAGCACTGAAAAATAAACTCATAGACCCCCAACACCCCAGATGCCTGAAGAGACTTTTTTGTACCATACTAGCAATTATATTCTATCTACACTTAAATGAGAAGTTCAAGAAGTGTCTTACACGTAAAAATTTTACATGTGGATAAAACTCGGCTGCAGACTCCTCAAAAACTTTGTCAAGATGTTTGCTGTAATTACTCCTACAGCATCCAAAAAATTATATGATCCAGGGATTACAAAAGACATGAGAGGAAGGAAAAGAAACTATAAACTCATATTACTTGATCGTAAAGGCAACGACTACCGGGTAGCCTTGATGAAGAAGTTGGACAAATTCCCTTTCCGAGGTAAAGTGAATAACTTTCGATGGCCCAAGATCCTTAGGATAGCCTGTGTAATACCTTCAAATACCAAAGAAAAAGTTAACCAGGCGTAAACTTACATCCAATTAATATAAAGCAAAACAGTGGCAGAGCCCAAACTTCATAAAGGGGATTCAAAAGTGTCATTCATAGTATTTGAACTTGCAACCTAAACCAACATTAAAATTTTCTAGAGTTTCCCCTCATGTCAAGGGAATTCAACAGCCTATATAACCCACCCTATTTACAAAGTATAATTTTACAGAGAAGGTAATTCAATTGAACCCCCTTTCTCCGAGTTATCTCAGGCCCTGAAGCAAAAACAGTACAGTAAAGTTAAGCAATCACTCTCTATACAATGCTAACATCTAGTGAACATGTCACGGCAGCAAAGCTAGCAACTTTAAGCAGAAAACAAATTATTTTAACAAAGAGAAACCAAGACAGAAGTGAATGCGTGCAAATAATGCTAGTTAATAAGCTAAAGTTTGAGTGTTGAACATACTTGCAAGAGGAACGAAGGTTGACAAGGAAGTTGGTAAAGAATGATTGTTCCTCCATAACAATTAATCAAAATGCAGATTTAGTCTCCGTATTATTATGCTATTAATTTCTTTAACAATATCCAAACCCTGTTAAAAGAGAACACCAAAATCTCTCAATTCAACAAGCAAGTTGAGATGCTGAATCGGAACAAAAAAAACTCAAATTTTCTAACCCAAATTTGATGCAAATCAAGTTTATTGCCAACGAGAAATCGAATTTACAACTTTCAGAAATGAAAATGGAGAATTTCCATGGAGATTTTGGAGAAAAGGGATACAGGGTTTTGCACTGAAGAAGAAGAAGAAAAACAAAATGGTCCCTTATCTTTTGGGTAGGTTCAAAATTGTCTTATAAGTTAACTAATAATTATACCTCTAAAAAACACTTCATTTTATTGTTTCTAATCAAATCTAAATCTAATATGCAGAATTCAATAAATATTTAACAAAGATCAATGTTTTGGTGGGTTGCACCAAGGATTAATTCTTAGTCTATTTCTATTTGTTTTGGTGATAAATGTATTCACGCGACAAATTCAAGATGAGTTGTAGTGGTGTATGTTATTTTTGAATAGTATAGTTTTGATTGACGAAATTCGCAATAGAGTTAAAAGTTGATGTTTGGAGACAGACCCTGGAGTCTACAGGGTTTAGGTTGAGCAAGACCAAGACTGAATACTTGGAGTGTAAGTTTAGTGATATAACGAATGAGGCTCATGTGGAAGTGAAATTTGATACACAAGTCAAAGAGGATAGTTTTAAATACTAGTAGATAGGAATGTATTATTGTTCCCTCAGAGTACTACTCTTGTAGTGAGTAGCTCTTCGATTTATATACTATATGTTGTTTCATGTAGTTCAATTATAAGATTTGTTATAGTACTATTAATTATTTTTGTTATTATCTATTGTCTCTTATACTTCCATTACGTCTTCTTCTAAACTATTTTTGTTTTGAGCTGAGCGTCTATCAAAAACCTCTCTATCTCAAATGTGAGATAGAGATCAGGTCTGCATACACGCTGTTAGGTCAGAGTTCAATTCCTAAGCCAACACAGACTTAACGATGTACAACTTAGTGGCAAATAATTAAATGCAATAAATTGGAAGCTTTGATTAATAACTTATACAAGAGGAAGTCAAAAATAAACTAGGGAAGATACAAACCTACCTACCTTCCCTTTTCTAACTCTTAAACAAGGCTTGAGGGCCTATATATGCCATACATACCACAAGGGGGGATAAAAGGCATTCCACCATGTTACAACAGAATTAGCAAAACTTAGGATGGGAAGAAACTACCTTCTCCCCTCATACTATTAAACTTTACATCATTTTCACTTAATACCTTATATATTTGGAGAAACCACAACTAAACCATATGCATCTTATTCTCAAAGATCCAAAGAATATGCAGCAAACAAGATATTTCAACTTTGGATTAAGCAATCATTGACTGGTCTATTGATCATAACCCATAGTTGCAACAGGGATCCTGACTTTGTGACCTCTGCTACCTTTCAGTAAAACCTCTCCAAAACTATAGGCTCCTGTTACTGATCGGACAGTGAGAGTTACCGTGAATTTCCTTGATGCACCGTGCCTTAAAGTCATTGCAGGAGGATTAGTTTCAATGGCAATTTCTGGAGCCATTCTTGCTGTTACAACATATGTTTCTTCCTCAGCAACATTTGTCACTATACGTGTGATTATTTGTGTTCCCACAAGGTGTGAAACTGCAATTGAGGGTGAGTTGAAATTTGATGGGTGACCAAGGGTGTAGTTGCATGGGGAATGCGTGAACTTCTTTATTTCCTGAGCATCAATTCCAGGTACAGTGCACAAGAACCCCAAATAATCTTGATAACCTAAAATCAATCAAACAAAAGCTAAAGCAGTTAGAACATATTGAAAACTTTGTTATCAAGTGTCAGACTGGAGCTCAGAAAGCTGTTTGCATATGGTATTCAACCCGGTATAATGCTACACCCACTGTAGAGCTGCAAAAGTTTTGGAAAAAAACTATCTATTATAACATTCCTGAAAGCCAAAAAGAGCCATCACAACTCTCGCAAGTTAGCAAGAAAACAATCTTCATTTACACTATTTTTGATGAAGAGACAATCTTCCAACAACAACAACAATATACCCAGTGTAGTCCCACAAAGTGGGGTCTAGGGAGCTTAGAGTGTACACAGATCTTATCTCTAACTCCAAGGTGAGATAGAGAGGTTGTTTCCAATAGACCCTCGGCCCAAGAAAAAGACGTAATAGAAGTACAAGAGACTATAATATATAGTAACAAAAACAACAGATAGTAGCAGAACAGTACTACAACAAAATAATACTATAATCGAATTAAAGGGAACCATACACAATCTTCCATTATACTATTCTATCCATATAAGTTTCTTATATGCAGGTTCAGCCACTAAAATTACTAATATGCATTTATCTTTCTTCAATTGTACTTTACTCTTTCACACTCCTTGCTGCTTTCGGGCTTGATGGCTAGGGGAAGAAGTTAAGATAAGGCCATAGAGAAGACAAATACATGCCAACCTTCACAAGAATCATTGCAAGTCAACAGAAATGAAAACAGCACATCGCCAAAATGTCAAGTTTAACTCCAGCCAACCAAAAGTAATTGCAAAGCAGGAGACAAGATGTAGGGTAGTTTGGTATGATGAAGCTGATTTTTTCTTCACGAAGCTAGAGCGAAAAAAGTAATTACTTCTTTTTTATAACTGAGAAATCCCCGAGTACCACCGGCGCAAGGTCCAAAACTCCGTGGATAATGGATCTTCCCTCTACCCTTCTCCACTTAACATCCAATCTTTGGTCTATGGCAGAGTTTGAACCTGTGATGTGTGCCTAATCCATACATGTGATGTTGCATTCCTAGCACTAGACCAAACCCTTGGGCCCCAGAGCGGAAAATTATCACAACTCGAGTGAGGAAACAAGTTATTATTGCATGCTCGTGTATCATTCAAAGTTAGAAAGGAAACAACAAAGAGAGACTGAAAATCTTGCAACTAGACTATACAACTAAAGTGCATCAAAGGCAATTAGTCAATAGGATCCCCAGCTTTAGTAATTGTTAAAGGCACTAACTGTTCCCAGTTAGCAAGAGGATTATCTAAGTAGGATTTATAATCTGCTTAGAAACAATAAACTATATCAAAACTAGAGGGAAAGAGGAACAGAAGATCACCTGCATCAAAAATGAGTCCGGGATCCAGAGCTGCTCTAGGATTAACATGTCCACTTCCATAGTCAAATGGAGTAGCTGGAACAAGCATCAAAGTCTCAGATCCAGAATACTGTTGTGCTTGCAGCGGTCTCTCCGCCCTATCAATGGTTGATGAAGTTGTCATCAATGCTGATTTAATAGCAGCAGGGCTCCAATGAGGGTGGTGCTGCTTGATAAGGGCTGCTATTCCTGCTATATGGGGTGCTGCCATGCTAGTTCCAGAGATCAATGCAAATCCTTCACCTGATTCAGGCAAATATTTTGAAGTATGAACATATCATTGAAATACTGTTGGAGTACATTTCTTCTTGAGACTGAACTTATAGTTTTAGTCTGAACTTAAAGCAAACCAAATGGACATAAATGAACAATTTTCTAGGGTATCAGATTATAATTTAAGTCCATTAAGCAAGAGGAGCATCCAATTCAGGATACAAGGCATCTTTTATATTTCTAAATCAATAAAGAAGCCACAAACTCAACGGCTAGTTCATTGTTTATGTCCAAGTAAAAAGTAGGCTTGAAAATGAAATAAAGATGACTGCTTAAACATATAAATCTACCATCTAATGGACAACATAATCAATTTAATTGATTTACCTATAAGCAAAATAATATGAAGGCTACATACCACAATAGTTGGCTTCATCTGTCCCATTGGGAGCCCAGGCAGCCCAAATAAGAGAACCAGGAGCCAGTATATCGGGTTTCAGGAGATCAGCATCTTGAAAGCTGTAATCTTTGATATTAGGTCCTCTAGCAGAGAAGCCAGCTACTTGAGGTGCAGATTTGTGGAGTATTGGCCTCAACCCATTCCCAATGCTTCCTGTTGATTTAAAGCTCTTAACACGTCCAGTCCAATCTCTTGAAGTGGTGATGTTGTAGTAGTTTACAAGCTCCTGAAAATAGAGACAAGCATACAACTTTAAATTATGTAAGAAAAAAAGAGAGTTATACCTATAGAAGCTAATTGAAATAGCATACAATGAGACCACAAGTTGAACACCAAACAATGATGTGAGTCATTAGAAGGGACAGCAATTACTTTTTTTCCTTCGGATGCTATATATGAAAAGAGATCAGTTATTATTTTTTTTCCAAGATGTGTGATCATATTTGCCTTAGTGGTAGGGAGACAAAAGACTAGTTATGTGTTGGACAAAGACACAGAAATCATATATATCACTAGAATGTAGTGCGGCATCATACAAACAGGACAGAACTACCATTTTCTGGACATGATATTTCATCTAACCAAAAAAGATTATTAACCAAGAAATGTCTATTTTATTATACGTGATTTCTAGCGCTTGAACTAACTAGATATTTTCATAATCTCTTATTGTCACATCCAGTAACTTCATCAATACATGTGATGTTGGTATCTTTGTATTTAATTATGTACCTCGTAACTTTTGTTTGACAATTTTCAAAGATTCCAACATTGCAAATAATGATGAAGTTGCTGGACATAACAATAAAGATTAAGAAAATATTCTAGTTAGTTTCAAGAACAAATCTATAAGCATCATTCAATTGATCTATCCTATCAAGAATTAACTGGCCACCCTGAAAAACAACTTCTTAAGATACAAAAGAGGCTGGAAGTGATGTCCATTTGTGTGTAGGGGGTAACAGAAGTCTCCTGGTTTCAAACATAAAATTAGAAAGAGAAGAAGGAAACTAGAGGTTCATGAGTGAATGGTGACAGACAAAAGCTTCCGTTGACATCTTGATTGTACTGGTTCAAATGTGCCTCTAAAACACATACTAGCGTCCATGCTTCTTAGTCGTACACTCAACCTTGTCAGAAAAAGCAATTATCTTTCCATTAAAGAATCTCTCAAGGCAATATGCAACGTATAATAACTTTGCAAATAAATTTGTCTATTGCAAGAGACAAGAAGCTTAAAGGAAACCACAAACTATGACTTCCCTACACAGAAAGCTAAAAGACAATAGCAATGACACGAATAGAAGAGTACAGAGTGTTGATACTTGCCATTGACATGGAAACATCTGTTATAAGAATCCCAGGAATTCTA